AGTTTATGCAGGGAGAAAATTAGAAGGGCCAAAGCCCGGCTAGAAATTAATCTGGCTACTGCCATAAAAGACAGTAAAAAAATGTTTCTGTAAATACATTAGCAACAAAAGGAGGGCTAAGGAGAATCTCCATCCTTTATTGGATGTGGGGGGAAACATAGTAAGAAAGAACAAGGAAAAGGCTGAAGTGCTTAATGCCTTCTTTGCCTCAGTCTTTAATAGTGAGACCAGTTTTTCTTGGGGTAGCCAGCCCCCTGAGCTGGAAGACAGGGATAGGGAGTAGAATAAAGCCTCCAAAATTTTTAGCGACGTGCTACACCACTTAGACACACAGAAGTCTATGAGTCCGGATGGGATCCACCAAAGGGTACTGATGGAGCTGGCAGAAGTGGTCACCAAGCCACTTTCAATCACTTACCAGATTCCTGGCTAAATGGTGAAGTTCGCATATGTGATGCCCGTCTACAAGAAGGGCTGGAAGCAGAATCTGGGGAATTACAGGACTGTCAGTCCGACCTCAGTGCTAGGGAAGGTTATGCAGCAAGTCAGCTTGAGTGCTATCACGAGACACATAAAGCACAACCAGGCAATCAGGCCCAATCATCATGGGTTTATGAAAGGCAGGTTCTGCTTCATTAACCTGATCTGCTTCTATGATAAGGTGGCCCAGTTAGTGGATGTGGGAAAAGCTGTGGATGGTGTCTACCTGAACTTTAGTAAAGCCTTTGACACCATTTTCCACAACATTCTCCTGGAGAAACTGGCTGTTCACGTCTTGGATAGATGTACTTATTGCTGGGTAAAAAACTGGCTGGATGGCCAGGCCCAAAGAGTTGTGGTGAAGGGAGTTCAATCCAGTTGGCAGCTGGTCGCAAGTGGTGTTCCCCAGGGCTCAGTATTGGAACCAGTTCTTTTTACTGTCATTATCAATGACGTGGACAAGGGGATTGAGTGCGCACGCAGTCAGTTTGCAGATGACACCAAGTTGGGTGGGAGTGTTGACCTGCTTGACCTCAGAAAGGCGCTACAGAGGGATCTGGACAGGCTGGATCAATAGGCCAAGGCCAGTTCTGTGAGGTTCAACAACGCCAAGTGCCGAGTCCTGGGCTTCGGTCACAACAACCCCTGCAATGCTAGAGGCTTGGGGATGAGTGGCTGGAAATATGCCTGAAATCTACAGAAAGGGACCTGGGAATGTTGGTTGGCAGCTGGCTGAATATGAGCCAGCAGTGTGCCCAGGTGGCCAAGAAGGCAAATGGCATCCTGGCGTGTATCAGGAAGAGTGTGGCCAACAGGACTCTATACTCCGTGCTAGTGAGGATGCACCTAAATCCTGTGTTCAGTTTTGGGTCCCTCGCTGCAAGAAAGACATTGAGGTGCTGGAGCGTGTCCAGAGCAGGGCAACGGAGCTGGGGAAGGGTCTGGAGCACAAGTCCTGTGAGGAGCGGCTGAGGGAGCTGGGGTTTAGCCTGCAGAAGAGGAGGCTCAGGGGAGACCTTATTGCTTTCTACAGCTACCTGAAAAAAGGTTGTATCGTAGAATCATAGAATGGTTTGGTTGGAAGGGACCTTAAAGATCATCTCATTCCAACTAGTGTCAAGGTGGGTCAGTCTCTTCCCCAAGTAACGGGTGATAGGACAAGAGGAAATTGCCTCAAGTTGCACCAGGAGAGGTTTAGATTGGATATTAGGAAAAAGTGGTTGAGTCACCATCCCTGGAGATATTTTAAAGGCATGTAGATGTGGTGCTTAGGGACATGGTTTAGTGGCAGACTTGGCAGTGCTAGGTTTACAGTTTTACTCTATGATCTTAAGGGTCTTTTCCAACCTAAATGATTCTGTGATTCTAAGGCAGCTGACAGCAAGAGTTCTGGAAAAGCAAATGTATTTTTGGAAAAGACAATCTAGCCATACATACATGACCAAGTCTTCAGCAGATTGGTGAATGTAAAGTCTGAGACAGATATTGGCACTCACTCACATAAGTAGGCATTATTCTTATATTAGCTGAAGTGGTTAGTTTAATCTGAACACTTCTTGCCCTCTAGCCCCTGCTTGTAAAGTTGTTAGAAGTCAGAGCAGCATTTAGTTTGGTGCCACGGAAGTAGAGAAGCAAACCAGCTACAATTAATAGCTAGTCTAACAATGAGTGGAAGTGTCTCCCCCAGCACTGACAGTTCATGTATGGTAAGAAAAGCACTGCATCCTCAGGAATCTCAAACAACATACAGATAATCGGGATCACAGAGTCAATAACCATAACGTTTATCATGGCTTTGTACAAAAAGCATTGCTGTAGTTAGAGAAAATATTGGATGTGGGATTTGAAAATTAAGACAGTTGAGGAAACATGGAATAAACCTATGCATTTTTAGCAGCACGTTTAAAGTGATTGTCTTCTTATTGTAAGGTCATAGCAACCTTTCTAGATGTTTCTTTTTTCCTTTCCACGTGCAACAAATCAGCTCACACCTATAAACGGATTTTTCTTGAATGTAATACTAAAATTGCATTAGGAATTTTTCAGTGTTTCATATGTTAAAACCTGAACAAATATTCAGGTATCTGAACTCTGCTAGCCTTGAGTGAGACTTAGAACATCTCTTTGGGATTTGGGGAAGGTAGCTGGAAAATGCATTGAATTCTGCAACCTAGATCATGGTTATTGGAATTTTCTGGCCCCCTAGCACAAATTGCGATCCACACAAAGTTGCTTCCAGTTGAAAGACATGTAAGATCAGGAATATGCCTGTATAGTTTCAGACGTGGAGATGTACAAAGGAAGAGAGGGAATCTCTCAGAGAAACCAGGGAGGTGTCATTACTTCTCCCAGCCTCGAACTCTTCATTATCAAAACTTCTCATTACTGATTGGGTCTGCAGTGTTCTGTTCCCTGCTGGCTCTGAAAAGCAGGGAATGGAGCTGTGAATGTAAAACGGAGTCTAAGCAGAAACTTCAGGCTTGTGCTGGGATACATAAAAAAAAGTAGATTGACATTCTGTGTTACAGTTGATTGCTTCCTGCGGTCATATATTGTGAGTCAAACTTACACATGTTTTAAATGTAGATTAAATAGCTCTAGCGAAGGAGTAACAGCAGGCAAAAGGCAAAATTAGGCTTTAAATTTGTATTATAATAGCTCTTAGAATTGTCACCAAACCATGATCAGCATAGCAGGCAAAGAATTTGAAAAGACAGTGCCTCTGCTGAACAGCTGACAGACTTGAAGTCCATCTGTCCTACATATAAAGCTATATTACAGTGCTCTGCAGCTCCTAGTATTGCAAACATTGCCAAGTAGACTGACAGCACTAACAGGATTCACACTATGGGAATGATAACCTTTCACATTTTTTGTTTTAACAAGCCCAACTCAGACCTTCAGCAAGGCTCTGCAAAGGATTGTGGGGGCAGGGAGGAAGAGGAGGGATAGAAGTCTTCCCCTATGGACTCATAACCTAAGAGTTATAATGTGAAATGTGGATTTCCATTTTGCAGTATTAAGAAAGAAGAACCAGCATTAATGCATTTTAAAAGTGAATGATAAACTGATACAATTCTCCAAAGCAGAATGCGGTGAAAACTGCATTTTAAAAGCAAAGTCCTTAAAAGTTATATGTAATTTCATGACCGCTTTATATACTGATTATCAAAGCAGTACATTCATGAAAATGTTCTAGGCAAAAGTCTAGCCATACTTGTATATGTACGTGGCAACATTTCATGCACAAGGTAGTTCTGTCTTTTTTGAAAAAGAAGCACCTGCCTTTGAGACCACCAAAGCTCCTCATTGCTGTTGCACTGCAATTGTGCATTTCAGGAATTACAGATCTGGTAGTTGTTTTATTATCAGAGTGTGTCCACTTCAGTGGAACTAGATTTCAGGCCAGTTAGGAAGCAGATCACAACAGTTACTGGACAGTGTTTTAAAAACTTAGAGCATCCTGGCAGGATGTAGAACATTTAAGTAATAAGAGGGAAAGATAATGGCCTCCACAGGACAACTCAGATCAGTTACATGCCTGAGGTTGTTTATAACTATCACTTTTTCCCTGCAGAAAAGTCAGCTACTGGGGGATTGCTCTAAAGTCAGTGGATGCAGAATTTCATCTGCAGAGTCTATTACCAGCATTACCGTTCCAGCTATCTGCGTAGATCGGCTTACTGTTTAACTTCCTTTTGCTTCAGGTTACTGATCAGAATCTACCAGGTAGCTCTGCAGGGGTAGGGTGAAGTACGCTTAGTTAATTAATAATTTCTGTGCTTTGGGGTGAGGTTGATAGAGTTTTAGTTCTAAAAATCACCACCACTATTATTAAATAATTTGCAAAATACTTTGTTACAACTTTCTGGATATTTGTGTTTATCCTTCCTCTGCTGAAGTCTTCTGCAGCCCTCTGCTCCCTGTGGAGTTAATTTGAGTGTAAATAGCCCTCTGGAGCACCAACACTACTGAACAGATGCAGCCACTGTGCAAGACGGAACAAGAAGGATATTCTGTACCATGTGTCTGATACACCTGACAGCACAGAAATGCTATATTTGTGTCTCCTGTTAACGATCTGTCAGCATTTCCACTTACAGTGCCTTTGACTCATCTGTCAGCATCTATTCTGAGATGAAGCCTAGCGTAGAGGCTCTCACCAAAAGGTGTTTTTATTGTTTGATAGGCTGAAACGACATTTGGCTGCTTCTGAGTTATCAGGGAATCCTAAATGTACCTCTGAGGGCAAATTTGCTTCTAACAGAGAAAATGAGTACATTTTCTTAAAAGGTGTTCCATGGTGCAGTCACAAAATGGCTTTTGTGTTTTGTTTACTTTAAAGAAAATTTGCAAGCTGCCATGTTTTTCGATGGATCTTCGTGCTTTTTGGAAAAAAAAGTATCAAACTTAAAAAGACTATCAGTAGTTGAAAAATTACAGCTTCTACTACTGTAGATGCTTCTTAGCCAACTTTATTTCGGCAAACTTTTTTCTCCCTTCTAAATGCACATAATCCTCAGATTTATTCCATTCACATAAGCTGGCTCATTGCGAGTGATATAAATTAATGTCTTCAGTAGAGGCTTTATGATTTACAGCCAAATGCTGCTGCAGAGAAGCAGCAGCTTGTCTGTCTTAGCAATCACCAGCCGGCAGTAGTCATGTTTTCTGTTTCTGTTGTAACCCTGCTCCTTCGGAGGCAGAGAAGTAAACTGGTCTTCCTAGTCACCCTGCTGAGGTTTTCAGCAAGGCTCACTTGTATTTTCTCTGACTCTGGGGAAAACATCCCCACATGCAGGGAACAGTAGGTACTAAGTGCTCTGAGGGCTGCCTTAACCTGCTTTACTCATACCTAAACAAGCTCTGAGAAGTGAACCGGGAACTGATTCAGGTCTTGTTGCGGGCAGCGGGCTTGGCATGGTGGGTGCTGGGTACGCCTGGGTCTTTACTGCTGACTGTGGACCATGGGGTTGCTGACTCCCAAGAGTAAAGAATTCTGGCTGGAGGCTGCTAATACTCGTGAGAGCGGGAAGTATTTGGGTGGTACGTGTTGTTTCTACTAGTAGAGTCTGACTCTGAAGTCCTTTTTGTCAATCAGTGCCTGTGCTTAATAACCAGATGTGTTTTAAGTCCCTCAAGTAGATAAATACTGCCAGGATGTGAATGAAAATGTGATTTTGGATTTAATTCCTTCATGTTTTAAGTTGACATGTTTTGGGGCTACTTCCAAGTGGTTACAAAGTCTCATAGCAGGTGATGCAGTGTCAGACTTGTATACAGAAACTATTCACAAACGTACACT